CCCACCCACACCCACACCCACACATCCACACCCACCCACACCCACACTCACACCTACACCCACACCCTAACTTGAAATCGCTTCTCTCTTTGAGATATTGTCGACAGTGTACTTATATGTGTCATATCATAACTATTGTTGATGAATAATATAAAAACGAAATGAGAATATTCATTTTGAAATTTATTTCGAAATGGCAAACGAATGTAATCACAGACTATAATATTTGTTAGACGAATAGTACCTACTGTAGTTATATAAACATCATTCTATCATAATGAGTTGTGCTAAAATCAAGAAATTTCCTAATCTCATGTCGGTTTCGAGCTACTCTTTCTACTCTTAAACTTGATGACGTTATGCTTGAATGATTCTCGAGGAAAATAATAATCGTAAATCCTGTAAATTAAACATTATTCTAATTACCTTCAATGTTCTGATTGATTCAATTTTACCTGTAGATGAACATATCTATAATAATGTCTTTGTTGATTTTATTTATATATTTCGTGTAGAAATGGACTCTTTAGGATGCAACAGATAATATCCCAATCAATACTTCACTCTTATAATATCAGTTTGGAGATCTGTACAAGAAAGAATGTTTCGCTTTTAAAATTTTATTTCATTTTTCTGTTATTGAAAATGATACGACACCAAAAATCTGCTTTGGAAAAAGAAATTTTGATTATCTTTTTCTTTTGGTCATTAATATGACAATTAGTATCATATTTAAACAATGTTTCTGTATTTATAAAATATTTTATTGGATAAATAATTTCATAATTTTTAAATGAGAAATGAATTAAAACAATAAACAGAATATTCATCTTAGTTATTTAATAGTATTTGTTAATATAATTTATATCACTTTCTTAATTAAAAATTAAATGGGTACACATCAAATAAATTAGTTTCAATGAAAATTTCCTCTTTTTCAATATAGATCTTTTAATAATACGATTTTTAAATTAATAACAAGCATCATTTCTTTTATGTTGCAAAGATATTCTAGTATTTTTACAGAAAGAACTTCGTTTTTATTAGAGAATAATTGACAGTTAAAAATGAAATTTGCTAAACCATTATCATTAATAATAGTTAAAATTAAAAAAAAAATTTTCATAAGTTTATTAAATAAACCTCATTAATAACTAAGGGCGTGGGTTCATTACATTCATGCTGAACACCACACCTTCCTCAACATCCATATCCCATACCCACACTCACTCTAATTTAATGAATACCTAATCATAAAAGAAAATTTCTTGTATATGTGAAGCTTCTCAAAAACTAAAAAGACCCTTTTGACGTTGATTTACATAAGATAAGTTTCTTATCTACACTCCTGGACAAAGTTGTTCTTCTTTCCTTATGCGTGTGCTATCATGCTTTTATTAACTTTATTATCGAGTCCAAATATAACATGAAAGTTTTATATCAGTATAGTGTATAGATCACAGTGCAATAAAATTCTCAAGTCATATCTCCATTTGGCAATAAATTTGATGTAAAGTATGATAGTACAGAAAAAAAAGGAGAAGACATACTTTTGGCTACAGATGTGTTTGATTTGTATAAGAGAAGTTTCTTATGTATTCGAATTTGAATAAAACTCTATCATTTGCAACCATTTTCTCTAGAATTTGATGAATTGTGCAATTATAAATAACGGGGGAACGCTTTCGAACTAAGAATGTGGCTCATTTTGTAGAGATCAGTGAACTATGATTACTCAGAAACGGATTTGTGTCTATGGCTTCTTTTCGAAAAGATCGAATGTTTTTAGTATTATAAGCTTATATTTCTATGATGTCCCAACTACATTATGTCAAAATGATCTCCAATTCTAACAAAATCTTCAGGATTTGTAGCACTTTTAGTTCTAAACATTTTCAGAAAAAAATTTATTTAAAATATTTTTGTCAAAATGTTTAGAACTAAATATGCTGCAAGCGCTGAAGCTTTTGTCAGAATTGAAGATCATTTTAGTACAATGTGATTGTTCACTGAACTCCACAAGATGATGAGCCCAATCTCAGCTCGAAAACATTCCGACAGTTGGATATGTCTCCTAGTAAATCTTTTAAAAATATATAGACGTAATTTCCTTTTCCTAAGGAAAAATAAATTGAGATGATAAGCGGCAATCTCAAACCAATCCGTATCAGATTTCAGTTCATTCAACCTTATCCTTAGAGGATCCCAGTCGTATTCTATCCAAGTCCAACATTTACCAAGTAAAAAATGTCGCAGATCCTGCTAAGTAGATTACTGAGTGCGTGACCTCATCCCTAACCGATCGAAACCAAAATCTCATTTATTTCAACCCAATCTAAAGCATTAAAAACGCAGTTAAAGCCCGCTCATTGTGAATCCTTCTGCGACTTGAACCTAGAGATCTCTCGATTCTGGTAAATCCAGATAAAGAATGCAATTGTGGTTGAGAGGTGACCGTGCCATCATAACGCTAGACTTACAGGTGATGGCTCGAAATTGCGCATGGGACTTGTGAATTGCTCTTGAACACTCGTCTCTGTTGAGCAAGAGTCTCACATAATTTTCTTTTATATTAGTGGTACCAATGCGTGCCAGCCAACGGAATATTCCTGTCGATGCCACATGGTCACAGACGGGCATCACTGTAGCTGGAGGAAATGGTCAAGGTAAGGGGACTCATCAACTCTATCATCCACATGGTTTGTTCGTTGATGACGAACAAACGATTTACATCGCTGATTACACCAATGATTGGATTGTCGAATGGAAATCTGGTGCGACGAATGGACAAGTTGTTGCTGGTGGTAACGGATACGGAAATGGAGATAATCAACTGAGCCAACCCTTGGATGTCATTGTTGACAAAGAGACAGATAGTCTTATCATCTGTGACAACGGCAATCAAAGAGTCGTTCGATGGCCTCGTCAAGGTGGAAAAAAAGGTGAAACACTGATTTCAAATCGCTTTTACACCAGTTTAACTATGGACGAGCAAGGATCACTCTATTTCATCAATCAGTGGATGCATGAAGTAACACGATATCAAAGAGGTGAAACTCAAGAAAAAACAGTTGCAGGTCGTAATGGAGAAGGAAATAAACTCAATCAACTCTTTAGACCTTGGGGTGTCTTTGTCGATCGAGAACACACGATTTATGTGTCTGACTCTGGTAATCATCGGGTGATGAAATGGGAACAAGGAGCAAAACAAGGAATTATCGTCGCCGGTGGTCAAGGAGGAGACAGTCTTACAGAATTGTATTGTCCTCGAGGAATCGTCGTTGATCAATTGGAGACCATCTATGTGGCTGATGAGTTGAACAATCGAATTATGCGTTGGCCCAAAGGAGCCAAACAGGGAAGTATCATAATTGGTGGAAACGGGAAAGGGAGCAATTCGAATCAATTAAATTATCCCATAGGTTTGTCATTTGATTGTTATGGCAATCTCTATGTCATCGATTCCGATAATGCTCGTGTTCAACGCTTTGATATCCAATGAACTCTGACTCTTTCGATTCAAAACAATTTTTTTTTTGTCTCGTCTCACCTTCTTCTATTTCAAAACAGAACAAAAAGAAATGAGATTTTGTGTTATCTCTTTCTTTGATGAAGACGAGAACAACGATAACTGAAGCAACAGAAAAGAAAAAACACAAAAGAAAAACTTGATTGGAGTCAGCTGTCTTGAAATTAGAAACAACCCCAAAAATCGTTAAGATTCATACCTTCTTCGAAAAGAGAGACTAATTAAGTTTGCAAGAGAAAAAATACACGTAGTACATAAAACCTAATTGATTCACATACAAATTCGTATAGATAAGTAATTAGTCGTCTGCAATGGCTATTCAAACCGTTAATGAAGGATGAGAAAGAGAGAAAGAGAAAGTAAAATTTCTCTCTTGTTATTGATTATATTTCATTTTTTTTTCTTGTGTGAATTAGTTAGAACGAAAGTTCTTCTGTCATCCATCCATACCAATCATTTGTCTTCCATAGAAAGCATTTATTAAAAAAACTCTACTAGTTTTCTATTCTATTTCAAAGTAATATATTATGAAAGAAGCTTGATTCCATATGAATTCCTAATTTTCTTTTAACTATGAAATTAAGCTATATCAGCTTTTTAAAAATGTGAAGGAAAATTCTGATCAACCAAGTTCAAGCGTTGATAAAAAAACTACTTTATAAAAAAAGATGCGGTTTTTTGTAGTGAAAATGAAAATGATGATGACGAGAATTTCGTAGCGGGTAAAATAGTTCGATGAAATTAACTATGAATGTTTCTTCTGTCAATAACTCAAGCACTACATTAAACACACTTGCATAGCTGTCCACACCTGCATCCACAGCCAGTATTGATTCCCCACTATAATAAAATTAAGCTCAAAGTTGTTGCAGCCTTTGATCAGTATTTCGGCACAACTTCTGAAGTATTATAATACGATTCATGTCTGATAATAAACTAATAAAGCAATAACCCTCAACTGAATACTTTACTGTATCTTATTTTATGATATCTTATTCGTTCGGTAAAGTTAGAGATACTTTACTTTACTTTACCTTATTTTACTTTATATGTCAGGTAAAGTCGATACACTTTACTTTATCTAGTAAAGTAGAATGAACTGCTATAGTGTAATTCTTAAGATTTTTGTTAAGTATCAATGGAAAGACATCGATTTGATTAGATGTATTTGTGACAAAAGTGTTTATCTGGACCGACACATCTTTGTGCACGATGAGATACGATACAAAACATCGAAAAAGCCGAATACACAGTCGAGAATACAGCGAGTCACATGGACGAAGATTACTTGCAGATAAAACATATTTATGAAGACATTAGTTATCTTTCGTTTGTTTCTTCTCTTATTCTTTTTTAAAATTTCAGTCCTACTAAACGACGTAATAGATGAGGACTTCATTCGTGAACTGAAACGTATCGAAAGTCTAATTTTTATTACATAAAATACTTGATAGTAATTATTAACGGTCCGAGGATCAACAATCGTCTGGCTGAGTTTTAGATTAAGATAGCCCATGGCTTGATATTTTTAGATCGATAGGGAATTTTGAAAAAACGATTTTGCAGGATATTCATTCCAATAATAGGATCTGATCGGATTCCAATCGAAGTTCAGTCGAATTGTCGAAAATTATAATAAAATCAACAAAACCCTATCGGGTTCTGTAAGATGAAATCATTTTCAGATCTCTAGTCTTCGATCTTATTAGATTCTCTTGTAGGATCTTGAACCATTTGCATTCTGTATTGCAACATAAGATAAAAACAAAACTTTGAATGGAAAATTCAATAGAATTCAATTGCTGATTTTGTTGCTTTAGTGATTGAATCAGTTTCTTCTTTGTCAAAGTTTAGAAGCCTTAATTTTCTAGACAATTCAAATGAACTTATTTTTCATCTAAACAAAAAGAAAAATGCAGAAATATGACCGTTAAAATTGTGAGTTTTTATTTTAGATTAGAAAGTAATTGATGATTATTGGTTTAAATTCATTCTAATTTCATTTATCGATGGTAATTATGTCTCTTACTGATCTTCCTGTCGAACTTGTTCATCGTATTTTCGATTATTGTGATATAACAACGATACTTTCTGTTCGTGCTATCTGCAGACAGCTATATCTGATGGCTAATGTTTATGATCGATATGAACTTGACTATGATTATCAATCAGCAGATGAATTATCATTAATTATTCGTCTTATTCGACCCGAAAAGTTTGTCTCGCTGATATTGTCCAATTGTTACATGGAAGATGATTGGTTCACTGAATTAATTTTACTTTTCGATATTCGTCAGTTAATTCGACTTCGTTCATTGACTCTTTTCGATCTAAACGATGTGGAATTGGAGCATATTTTACGTACGGTAAATTTCGACTCTCTCCTCTCACTTTCAATTCATTTTGATGAGAAGAAATATGGTGAAGCATTTGACATTGTATCATCAACGATTGCAAGACTCAATGTACGAAGGCTTGATATAAATACTATTGGCTACAAAGAGAAACAGATAACATGGCCAACTGAATGCCGTTTGAAATATATGATTATCGATACCTGCACGTATAATCAATTCAAAGTTATGATTCATAGCCTACGTTATTTAGAAAATGTTTCTATAAAAGATTGCATCATACATGATAAAAACAACAGAAATGTATTATTGTCTGCATCTACATCATATTCATCATTGAAATCTCTAACTATTACTGAGAGTACGCTTCCTACAAAATATATTCAATCTCTACTTTCAGAAACGCCTGATCTTGTCAATCTAAAACTGATTTCACATAAACGACAGTTTGACTCCCTTTTCGATGGTGCTTATTGGGAAAAATTTGTTCAAACAAAACTACCTTTGCTGATTAGATTCGAATTTTTCTTTGAAAGCTGTCTAAGCAAAAGACAACAAGAATATGATGGCACGTACTATTATGATGAAAAAGATGATAACAATAATACTCACACTAGCCTCAACTCAATTATTCTTCCATTTCGAACGCCATTTTGGCTCGATGAAAAACGTTGGCTTGTTGCTTGTGATTTTCTTCTAGAAGATGGTGATTTAAGGATCTACACTATTCCTGCTATTTTTGTTCCGGATTGGAATCCATATAGATGTGAATTATTTCCATTAGATAGTGTACCTCGTCTTACTTGGAGATCAATAAAGAAACACATCAACACTTCTACAGATAAGGTATTTTAGAAAATTCTCTCTCATAAGAAGTTGCAGAAATCTTTTTTCTCTGAAATACGTATGTAGCTTCTCTGCTTTGACAGTGAAGAGTGATAGTTTTGACGTATATGATAGTCTATTTTTGACAAGTTGAATTTCTGTTACGATTCAGTTTCCTGAGAGTATTTGGAGACATAAATAACCGAAGCCGAGGAATCGGTGCTGGGTCCCGCCAGACAGCCCACATCAGATCCGGAACATGAAGACACTATTGCGGTGAAGGAATCTACTGACAGGATCTGGAAAAATTCGAGAACTAGATACGGTTACCAGATTTCTTTATCGATTTCTGGGCAGGTTTCTGGAGGAAACAGCTTCTTTCCTTTGGGATTCTATGACGTTCCAACCAGATTACTGCTTTGGGAACCATCAATCTGAGAAATAATATTAATCCTATAAGATGGACTTTAAAGCAGTATAGGATACGATAGTGCTAGAATACATCTCTATATAAAGCATTGAATTGAGTATGAAAATTTGTCCAATCCAGAATGGTACTATTATTTTGCCAACCCCTGTTTAACTTGTGATCACACAACTTTGACACTGTAGAAATCAAGGAGGAAAAAGCGTACTTCTGTACTTCTTGGTACTTCTTGATACTTCTTCGTACTTCTTCGTACTTCTACATTTAATTGAACTCTGTTCCTCTTTTTAGTCGCCATGGGTACTATCATGATTTAAAGAAATTTTATTAATATTTTGAGACTTCATCAATTGCATATTTTCAGATATATAAAATAATTTAATTTATATAGCGCTGAAAGGATGGGAGACGTTTTGTGCGCATATTAACTTAATCAGAAAATGAAAATAATTTTATGTGGAACTTTCAGTAGTTGTAGGGTCCAGAGTTAGTAGTCACTCCTATAAATTTCAACTCGATCGATCAAACTTTTCTCTTATTTTACGGTACCGTCGATCTGAAGTTAGACATAAGCTGTACCGGAATATTGTGTGCCTTTATTCTTCATTATATGATTCAGACTCAGAGCTATTTTTTAGCATCGATAGCAATCAGCTAGAACTACAAAATTGCAAAAGCAATAGTTTACAAAGAGCCTGCTCTCACATCATTATATATGACATAGTATCCTAAATGTGAGAAAGGATATTTTAGAGTGAACTTAGTGAACCTTCATTTTTCAATATGTTCTTCGGACTGAAAATCATTTTTGAGCAACAATAAGAAATGTGTAGAATTAGATAATTAGAAAGATATAATCTTGTTGAAATTCAATCTGCTTCTCCATCACTTAGAAGAAATCATTCATAACAGTATAGACAATAGTGATTATTCCCGAATTCATGTGATTTCTATAATTTTATTCAGAACTTCAAAGATTTGGTTGGACAGAGTTGCAGAGTGAATGTTATAGAATTATAATTTCATACTTTTCTAGTTCGAATATCATTATATGCATTAGTGTACTATTCTGATGCCTAGTATGAAGTGTTGTACTTTTATTTTACGGTCATAGTTAAGTTTGTAATGATTGAAAAATGATGGTTGTAGGGTTCCCAATGTACAGTTGCACAAATTACTACGTAAACATTGTTATTATATAGTGACAGATATATTCATCAAATGAAAGTGTATTACGACTTTAATGTTTGGTTAGTGATCGGGAAAGGTATCAAGATCTCTTTGCCCATTTTATTAATTTTTCATTATGCAAGACAGTACAGAATTTCATCATTTTCATCGGATAATTCAACAATGTCATTCACTAATTCACGATCATCAAGACGTTTCACATATGTATCGGATGGTTGATACGCCAAAATATCATTGCAATGGCGTTTATGTCTCCGCTCTACGGTTTTGAATCATCGCATGTGAATCATATAGTGGACAACAAAGGTTTATATGGTTCGTCATAAGGTACTCTCTGCTTCATGTGGAGTACTATGTGACTGATAATAGTTTGAGAGCAGATTTGTCGTAACTTCTTGTTTTCGCAGTTTTATAGCTCTTGACAATTGCTATCGATCCTGAAAAGATGACTCTAAATCTGGATAATATAGTGAAGAATGAAGATACACAATATTCCGGTAGAGCCTATATGTAACTCCAGACCGACGGCACTGTAAAGTAGAAGAAAACTTTAACCGATCAAGCTGAAATTCATAGGACTAACTATTAACCCTGGGTTTTACAATTGCTGAAGGTTCTACATAAAACAAGCTTTATTTTCTATTAGGTCGAAATTCGCACAAAATTTCGCCCATCCATTTCACAGTGTAAAAGTTTACGACAATAACGAATCCAGTCAACGAGACTCTTACTTTAAAATCAATTTGAATAATTACCGAAAGTTTATATATAAACAATCGACTTGCTGGTTGTTAACAAATAAATCTGTACACTCATTCAACGATTGACTTTTTCGATTTATTTCATCAAGTCGTAACGATAATGATAATCTCTTTCAGTGTATTTTTCTTTTGGATTTTTTTCAAAAAATAATGTTGAACCGTTATTCAAGCAATCTTAAATAGTGATTTATCGATTTCGACTTAATTCTATGTGATTTTGGAACTTCCTAGTACTTCTTGGTACTTCTCGGTACTTCTTTGGTACTTCTTGGTAGTTCTCAGTACTTCTTCGTACTTCTCGGTACTTCTTCGTACTTCTTGGTACTTCTGTACTTCAGAAGTATAGAAGTACGCTTTTTCCCCTTGATAGAAATACTATTTACCGTTCGTGTACTTCTCAAACAGGAATATTCAAAAAGCCATCATATAATGCATATCTATGAAAGTAATATTTGTCTAAAACAGATCGAGTACTTCCCGAACGCTTTGAAAACTATATGACACAATGATCCTCATTGTCTTGTCGTCATTTCTTCCTTTTAATACAGAAGTTCACCACACTCAATTTTGAAGATCGTGGAATCAATTGCAAACGAATAGGATACCTTGCTGATGCTTTACGACATGATACGGTGATTTTCAGTCTTTCTGTATGTCCACATATGACTGATATTCTTTTCTGTACGTAGACAATTGTCGAATTGAATCTCAGCAAAAATCCAATAGGACTAAAGGGAATTCAATATATTGCTGAGGCCTTACGATACAATAAAGTAATTTTCGGTCTTATCTTATTTCTCACATATATGATTTTGTTCTGTGTACAGACACTCACTAGACTGACTATTGGTATGAATGGATCCGGAATCGATGGAATAAAACATATTGCTGATACATTACAAACCAATACAGTAGTCGAGTCTCTCTATTTATCTCGCTCATATTCACATTCTTTGCTACATAAAGACACTCAAAGCAATTGAGCTTCGTTACTGTGCCATTGGAAGAAATGGAATAGATTATTTCACTAATGCTCTGCAAAACAATATGGTGACTCTAATTTTCTTATGATTGTTTGCATATCTATCTTCTTCTTTATCCATAGACACTAACTGAACTGAATCTTGATTCGAACGATATCGGAGATGTTGCAGCAGAACATCTTGCTTGTTTTTTACGGAAGACAACCGTTAGTGATAACTTTGCTTTTTCTCTCTCATATCCATCTTTTCTAATGCTCACAGGCACTCAATATACTACATCTTTACGACAATAAAATCAATGCTGTTGCAGCTAAACATCTCGCTGATGCATTAAAACACAATAAGGTAGACTTCAATTAGTCTTGCTATTTCTCATACTCATCTTGTTCTTTGCCTTTAGACTCTCACTTTACTGAACATTGGTCGCAATCAAATCGGAGAGGAAGGGGCAAAATATCTTGCTGATGCCTTACAAATTAACACGGTGAGCTACACTCCGTTTTTACTTCTCATATACTTCTTCTCTTCTAAATGTAGACACTCCGCAAACTATACATGACTTGGAATACGATCAAAGTTGCTGGAGCACGGTATCTCAGTGATGCTTTGCGAAAAAACACAGTAAATCTCATCTATTTTATATCTCTCAATGACGTCCATCTTGAACTTGATGTAGACACTTACGGACTTGGATATTGTCTATAATAATATTGGAGATAAGGGAGTTGAGTACTTGTGTGACTCTCTACGACATAACAAAGTAATTCGTATTCTCTCTTTATCTCTTTTGTAAAAGATGATCTGAAAGAGAAGTGCTGAAGAGGTTAGAGTTGCAGTTTTGAACTATTACCCACTAATAAATCGTACTTTTGTTTGTCCAAATAGCACATTTGTTTTATAGTACAACAAGACTTCTGAGATTATAAACACCAAAACTCAGTTCGTACTCACGTAAACAAGAAAGGCAAAAATCATGCATCTGAATGTGTTTCTCATTTAGCGGTAAGATTGAGGCTTCAATGCTTTCCAATCTACTTGTGTTCGAAATTGTGTCCTTCGTGACATGTCCTTCGAGTTTGAACACGATTCAAGTGATTTATTTATTGTCACGTCTAAATTTGTAACGAAATGTTATTCGAAGGAGTGTTTTCAATAAAATTTTCTTGTTTTCAGATGTCGTTAAACTTAAAACTGTGTTATTCAGTAATTTAAAAAAAAAATCGAACGTTTACTCTTTCATTGGAAACAAAAATTCATATTACAGTTATTTATTAAATACATTTATTGTGAAGAAAATCTTGTTCTCAAAATATCAGAGTTTTTCGGAAAAAAAATATAAGTAGATGTAGTCTTGAGAACAATGAAATAAGTGCAAAAATATTGCTACCCTAAAATAGACATGGTAAAATTTTAGAATGAAAGAAATAGATGTTTTCTCAATAAATCCTTTTGATAATTAAATATATCTGAAAAATTATATAACTCAATTTCTTTAATAAAAGTTTTTATAATAATCAAAGCAACACGATAAGCATTTTAATTATTAAAACTTTTCATAATGAATTTATAAGCTAATAATGAATGATCCATATATTACTGGTGGCTCAGATCAAACGTGAGACGAATTGTAGTATATTTTTCAAATTTGAAATATCAATCGATCACGTC